TATATATAGCTATTGTTATTACTATTTGTTAGTTATAATAAATAACAGATAAGCGCATTGCTGAGGATAGAAGAACCAGTCAGTCGTCACAGAGTCAGTCAACTTCAGCAGAATTGACAATAATTTTGTTTGTCAACGTTTTCTCAAGGTATTTGTCAACGTTATGTTTTGGGTAAATGTGTGCGTGTGATTGCTTGTTACCACCATCGCAACTATCTGTAGTGTAGATGCAAGAAGGAGCCTGTTTTTTTCTGTAAGTGTGTCTTTCCTTTTTCATCGTATGCAGCCAAACTAACTTGTTACTTGTATCTACTATCGAAAATTGTCATGTACGATGTATTCTCTAGTCACTGGTGCGCATTACCAGTATCACGCGTCAAGAGATGTCAGACTCGAAATGAAACACCAAGTGCATGTGTACGACACCCCTTAGAAAGAAAAAGAAACCTTCTCCCTGCTACTTAGCTTTTTGTCCGGCCCTCCAAACAGAACGGGTGATTTTTCCGTGGGACGTTGCTTTTATGTTTACTTTTTCGTCTATATACCTTGGTCCTTCGGGTCATGGTCTCTTTCGCCTTCAAATAGAATGTCATCGTTGCCACCGAATGGCTATATAAGCTGCAGTTATATATATTAGAGTTAATTTATGCTCTGCTATTTTATATAATGATTATTATTACTCAGACAAGTAGTAGAGAAGATCTACTGTCTGTCTGATGGCGCGTACTTCTCTCCGCTTTTGATGCAACATCAGAGTCTGTTTTAAGCCTTGTCTTCTAATCGTTTCAGACGCGCGTCGCGTACTGTTCAGCTCAATCATATTACCGTATTTTTCTATATGTCCGCGTATTTGACAACCTTTTTTCGTCGCTTAGACTAGTTTCGTCGAGCTGCAACTAAATCGATTTTATCGTCTTCTGGCATTTCGTTGCTGCCTCATTTTGCGTTAAACCTGCGTGTTGTCTTCTTTGCGCAGGACTACACCACATGTGACTCGTCTATCTATTTATCAGTTCGTTTTCCAGGACTTCCAGCCAGATGGTAAGACCGTGCGCTTACAGATGTTTATCGTGTTATATGGTCGTCATATATATATAATAGTGATCACAATCGACTGCTTGCCATCAGGAATACACGATTAGAATGATTATTCTTCTTACCAATATCTTTTTCTTTCTCTCTTGCTTTCAGCTCAACAAAGGTATTTGTTTCTCATATTCTTACTTATTCTTAACTTCGTTAATAGTAGTCGTACTATTATTGTTGTTTTTGTTGTTGTTGCTGTTGTATTCTTCACCATCAGCACTTCATCGGCCTCCATATTAATATCGTCATTATATCATCAGTGCGTGTTTTTGCTGTTATATTATTATTATCGCCGTCGCTATCATTGTTAATATTATCATCTTCTAAAATACATATAATTACATGAATATTTTTCTTTTAGTTCTACAAAGAACGTACAAACCAATGCATTGTTGTCGTTATCATTAATTGTTGATCGCTACTAGACGTCTCATTTTCCAGTTCCATTTAAGTTTGTCGAAGGTAAAGTGGGAATGTTAACGCCCGGAACTTTCTCGAGTCAGTCAACCTGCCTTGGGTTCACATGCACCGAAATCAGCTCGCTCCGACCAACAACAAACCTCTCCACAAAACGTATACGAGTCTAGCGACCACGCTATTTTCGTACGGGCTCTATTTGTGATCTCGAGTTCGGTACGTTAAGCTAGCGGTCGACCGTCGTGACGCGCGTATCAATGCAACACAGCACACGAAAGAACACGTGTTAACAGTCTTTCAGTTCCAGCAATTAGGAATCGATGGTCAGGGTTTGTGCCAAAAGCCACCTAATTAGCAGATTCAGGATTTCCAGACGATAGGCGACGCCTGCTGCTGTAGTAGTACCTAACCTACCTGAGCTGTGTGTGTACACGTCGTCGTCATTGAAAGGGCGGCAGACCTAATCGAAGGCAAACTCATGGCACCATCTGCCCTTTGAAAACTAAGACAACAAATGTCAATATGATCTTCTATCTAAAGTAGCAATATGCATGCACATCGTCTGTCTCGGCTTGGAGAAGGCCCAACAACGATTGAACCTTTTTATGCCTAGCGTCGTCTTCTATATTAGCAGCAAATGAATAATTCGGATATGTTTCAGCGGCTGACTGTTATACATACAGTCTCGTGAAAAACTTCATTACATCATCGTTGTCCTCATTGACAGCCGTCTTCTGCTTCGTATTTGGTCCGCCTATGTTTTTAGCCTGATACGTGTGGGTCAAAATTGAGGTACTATTTCTGATAAGGAACATCATCTGCCATAGTAAAAACGCTTGTGTGGCCCAAGGTAGATACTGAGCGGCCTCTTATAAATATCTATGTTATCCGTCTCCATCTCTGCCGTCGAGACACTCATGGACGTCAAAATGGTGTCATCCATATCCAGTTTTTAATCATGATTTGGTTACAATTGTATCGTATGTTATGTCCGGTTTCTTTGTCGTGTCTCTCATGAGGAGTTGGGCAGCGCATGTGTATATGTGTCTACGCAAATGTCTATCGATTCACTATGCAGCAATTGGCGGATGAATTCTTCTGTGTCTCCTGGCAAGGCGGGCTGGATTCTTGTCGGTGAAATCATTAATAACAAGGACATTAATGAACAAAAACACAAGGTCTTAGATTGAGGATCACTGAAATGGCTAGGTCCTCGATACGCAGCTCTGTTTTCACGACGAATTGTATAATACTACCATGCACTGCCTTCTCTCTGCGTAAACATACTCATCCTGAAAACCTTGAACTACAGTAGACTTCAACAATTGTCACAGTCTAGTTCAAATGACATTATTCAGCGTCTCTTCTATTCCTCTATATGTCTGTGGACTATCCAGGCGCGCTTGTTCCTTTCTGCCGTATGGGACATCCCATGCCGTACGTACTCACAGTAGGGCGATTCGTATACGAATACTCGATACTATGACCAAACAAATCTTGAAAATACGAAGTCTGTTCGAGCTCTCTCCCGCCACCTTGCGGTCATTTTTTGAAAAGTTGTGCAGGATTGGAAACTTGCTTGTCGTAGCTGTCCAGCATTGACAGAATATGCAATACCGCTATTTCCCTTTACTGGTTAGTCTCTCCTCAATTAACTACACTCCATTTAGTTGCTAACACAATAGTATTAATAAGCCAAAATCACAACTAGAGTTCGTACGTCATTGGCGTATGTGTATCGGTACGATACGCCTGCATGATGTACGTTGTTGGTATGGGCTGGTCGGGTAGGAATGAAACGGATTTAGGTTGAAGCACGAAATGCACGAACGTGCAGAATAATGAACAGTTATTATTCTACGAGGAAGAACAGAAGACGAAGAAAAAGAAGAGGAAAGAGGAAAAAGGAACGAAGAAAGGGCGAGATAAGGAACAATGCAGTCTTTTGGTTAGGGAGCCCTCGAGGATACAGCAGCCAGCGTGGGCTCATATTTTTTTGTTCTATATCTGTCGCCTACCCTTCTGAGGATTCGACACTGATCATAAAAACTCATTTGTAGGGACGCAATTCGATGGTAGGAGAACTATACGAATACTATGCGCAGTAGCCCCGGCAGTGTGATAGAGAAAATGGCGTTTGCCAGTCATAAAGGGCTTTCTACCAAAAGCTTAATTAGAACATGGGGAATATACTGTAATATAATGATAAAATGAGATAGATCAAATTAGCCAAGAACATGTTGTAGAGAGGAAACACAAATTACACCCACAACGAATAGAAACACTAGGGTTTCAAGGCTTGACTTTATTCTTTGTCAAATAATACGTAGATAATTGTTAAGCAATAAATACATTATGGGCCATTGTTGTTGTCTACTTCGAATCTATATACGATAACAATTGGAAATCAGATAAGTAAAACAACAATTCAATTAATCGTTAGTTTCGAAAGTATAACATTAATAGCGGCAAGAAGATCAGGGTGTTGCAAGATATATCCGGCTAGCAATAGCAGTGGTAATAAAATGGCCGCTGCAGGACTCTAAGGAGTGAAAGTACATTGTGATGATTAATTAATAAGCACATGGAATTGATGAAAAGAAAAAATAAAACAACAGAATACTGCGTTCACTTACTTCGTCTCAATCCACCGTTACGCCCTCTGCAGTATGTAAGCCTTCGTAGGTTTTCGGCGTTTGACGTTTGTCGTCCTTATAGTTACCATTTCTATCAACTTAGGATATTTTGTAGCATTTTTGATAAGAGCACAAAGTTCATAACAAAAAGTTAAGATTGACACGTACCTTTATTTTACGGTGTCACACGGTGGTACGTTTCGCTTTTCGATTTGCTTGTGTCTGTAACAACAATTATGTCTCCTAAATAGAATTACTATGCTGTTTTTATTTGAGCTGATGTCATTGTAATTACTGACATTTAATTTCGTAACGGATTTACATAGATCTTCTCCTAAGGATGCATCGTATTCACTCCATTTCCTTGATCGGTATTAAGTAAATCAATTAGAGCTACTGCCATATTAACTAGCTGGATATTCACGTATCCAATCAAGTGGCTACCACTTTCTAAATCAAAGGTACAACAACGATTTGCAATTTGATTACTTGGGCTTTACTCAAGTTCTCGAGAAGTAGGCGAAGTAAAAATGTAACTGAGGTTCGATCTTTTTTTTTTTACATGTAAATGCTTTGCCTGCCGCTAAGGGCATGCAAACATACGTAATAGATTGATCGATAAGGCTCTAATCCTGCTTGAAAGGGTCGTACCTCGTTCTTATCTCACCTGCCCGGATCTGTTTATATCACTACAGGAAGCAATAAACATCGTTGACTACTTCAGCACTTACTTGCTCTTCTATTTAACTGCGAGTTCTATTGTCATGTTGTAAAGTTACTATTTATATAGCAACATCGGTAATACAAATTGGATAATCAGTACCGCCAATTAATAATACACTATGGTTTATCAAGTACAATCGATGAGACTCTACCATAAGAAGATAGTTGAGCAGCAAATCGGGCACGTTGCTGTACGGGTCGTGTGGAATAACCGAGATAATCACGTAAGCCCTCACGAGGCTGCTATGGCTTTCTTAGAGTAATTCGGATGGCTTTGGCTTATTTGTGTCTATACTTTTGTTCGTTTAAGCATGCGTGTTTAGCCACCCGTAGATTGATCGCTTGACCGCAAAAGCCCACAGTTGTCAATTTATTGGCTCATCAACTTATGATTTTTTGCCTGAATAGTAATCTCCAGCGGTATATCTTAGCGTGGCGAAAACTTGTAGGTTAATGGGACATACAAAAAAAGTTTCCTTTTTTTTTTTTTTTGTTTTTGTAGTAAATGCAACTTTGCACTGATCAAGGGGCGAGGTTCTCAAGATACATAACTGTGGCGGTTATCAAGGCTATTCGTGATACTTGTAAGACATTTGTTGTATAAAATACACGAAATATATGCATATAATAGCGCTTTGCGTCCAAGACGTGTTCGTGGCTCGAAAAAGCTGACAGATTAATTCTGAGCCGATGAAGAGGACTAACGATTCGAGAGACGGTACGTCTCCGAAATTCGCCGGTCTCTGTCGTTAACAGCCGTTGCGCATTACGCAAAGCAATGGTAGATGTAATCAGTCAGATCTGATGATCAGTGGAATGATTATATTGAAAATAGTATCTACTTTAACTAAGGCGCTTTAACGAACGCTGTGATAGCCGAGATAGTGTAGCGCAGTTACGTCTTCTTTTTTCAACAATGAAGCAGAACCGTTTGTATCTATCAGTGACATACTTTTATTGCCGCTAAAATTGCTAGCTCGTATGACCCACAAAGGTGTTAAAAATCTCATATCGGAAGAAGCAGTATTAATGGAAAATAAGTAATTAATAACGTTTGTCAAACGTTAGATGAGCAAGTTTATAAATTAATCGGCTAGATACTTAATGCTGGCTTACTTAAAAGAGGCCCAAATGGCCCTTGTACCCGAAAATGGCGAGGTTTTTTTTCTTGTCATCGGACCTATTCGCCATGTATTAATGTGTTCACGGGTCGGCATCCTCGTGAGGCAAAGCGTAGTACCTCAATAGTTCGTATAAATAGCGGTGTACGAATGAGCTCATTTAGTATGATATAGTGAGTGGGCGTAACGAAGCACACTGCATCGACTGCTGGTTGACGTATTAACTCATGGTACTAACATTATTTTACGGATGTTTCATTTTAATTGAGAGACCATACGAGACTGACTAGAAACCATCCGAACGATTCAAGATCGTTGTCATATTGGGTCTATTCTTAAACGATCAATACCTCTATTCTAAATTAGACCCCTGATCAGCAGCTTCTGCTTTGAAAACCTGCAACTGCTTAAGAAGAATGCGTTCGAGTGACAGGCTATGCAAGCGCGATGCATATTTGACTGAATATTTGAAATGGCGGCGCGCGTCTAGTATGACTGCGGAGCGAAAAAGTGGACGAAACGCGCCATAGGTTTTCCCTTTGACCAAAACATAAACGGCTTTATTTCGTAATATTCATTAGTCGTAGAATTAATATCTATAATTGTAAAAATACGCGCACAAGGCTGCATGGAATCGAATGATACAAGCGACTTTGAAAGTGACATAAATTTTTTTTTGTCCAAAGTATAAGATTCCATCCAAGAATGCAAGTATCTTACCAAGTTGTTCTTAGCATGCTAGGAACAACTTGGTAAGATACTTGCATTCTGTTGTTAGTTAAGTTTTTGCTTACTATACATAATGTAGACTATAATACAGCTTAAAGTTATGAGATCATCACATGGAGTCAACTAATTACAAAAAACAGCATAAAGTGTATATCCGAGGTGTCGACCGGAGTATAAGGAGGCATCATAACGTCGCTTAGAAGGGCGTCAAGCTACAACACGGAGTAAAAACACGCGACTTGTAAATTAGAAGACAGACAACTAATCTTCAGATGCGGAATTGGGTAAATATATCGATTTTTGTTTTGAACGAAGCGAGTGCTCAAGTTCATGCGTTGGCAATCGTCGCCATCTTCGGAGTGGCAAACTCTCGACAGGCGGGAATCATATCCGTCCATATATATTCTTGAACACCACGCTCAAACAGGAGTTACACATCGTCGACGCTTATCGGCTCGATTTAAACTTACACATTGTTTGAACGTTAGACGGCTATGATTATGTTTATGTTGCTAGCCTTTAGTGGAACGGAGGGAAAAGAGGCCATAGACTGGACATGCAGTTTTTTTTATTGGAAGTGAGATTGAAGATTTTAACGCGTCCGACCAGATAGACATGAACACTTTTTGTGACCATTTTTGCGCCTTGAAGTTGCAGTTCTTAATAAGCGGCAATATCAACTGGAAATATTGTTGTAAGAAGAGATAAATACATTTGATTAATTCTACATTTCATCAGGTTAACCTGTCGTATTTTCTTTTACTATAAATTCGCTTATTCTTAAACTCTTTTAGAGTTTAAGAACAAAACCGAAATCGTTATTACATACGTTCACAAACTATATATATTCCGTAATGTTTGCCCCTGTCCGCAACAGTGCTGGCTGTGACAAGGGTGCTGCTAACTAATAAACATCTGAAGTGTGATAACAACATAAAACCGTACATTTCTAATCGTCTTTTACAAGAGTATTGCCTGTTCTTTGCCCAGTTCTTGTTTCGATCAGCTTTCACAGGGTCGATCCAAGTCTTCCAAAACGAGTAGATTAATTTTTTGTCGTTAGAGCCCGCTGACTTAAATGGTCATTGCCTACGGTGAATACCGTCTTATTTCTGTCTGTCTGATGTCAACGGATAACGCACGGCTGGTAGAGGTATTCGTCAAGATGCTTCTAATCTTGGCTCCTTTGACCGGAGGGTCTCAGTGTATGGCAATGTGAGACTCCAAATAATTTATTTGGACCACTAACGAGATATTCGATTTGCCATCTTCAAAAGCAAGTGTATTTTTGTCGCTTATTACTGTTTCTTTTATTCTTCATAATCGTACTTAATTCTGTCCGCATTAGTGTATCGCTAACATTTTCAATATAATAATGATATAATTTAAATGTTATTTGTTCCCATGTGTTTGTGTGTATGTTTGTGAGTGAGCGCTTGTTTTCTACATGCCCTGCATTTGATGTTCCTACTAGATCGGTTCGTTCTTTTTGAAGAAGAACGAAGGACGAATATGTGGCCGAACGAGAAGACCAGTGGGGAGACCAGAGATAGTGTCGAGCAACAGTTTCACTCTCGTTCGTTGTCGCTACTCGATCCCGCTCTATTTCTATGTCAGTGCTTAGAGTAACACAATTGACTTCATGTTCTGTAGCATCGTCGCCAGTTGCCCCTGAGCGGATCAACGGTGACGAAGCGGATGATCGCTCCGTTACCACTATCTGCCAGTCGGAAATGTATAGGTTAGAAGAGGCATAAGGCGAAAGAACCCTCCCACGTTGTTGAAGAAGTTGTTAAACCCTCCCACGCTCCGCCTTCACAATTTTGTTTCGGCTCTTTGCAGCCTATAGACGTTGCCTTCTGCACTCGCTTGCTTGTGTCCGTGCGTTTGATTGAAGGCAGGCATATTGGTAGCTGCTGCTCTCACCGTTGCCATCGTCAACCGTTTATTAGGCTGTCTTTGTATTTCTGTCTTAATCTACACATTTTACAGTCAATTCATCGTTTGAGAGAAAAAAAAGTTATACTCATATATATATATATGGATGCACTGATAGATGTTCATGTGGTTAGATGGATAAATATAGAGCTGTGTATGGCTGGTGTTCCGTCTGTGGGGATGTGGGGGGAAAAAGCAAAAACAACAACAGTAATAATAAAAGCATTAATTAGTATATTATGTATTTTTCTCTGTCCGCAATCTATTTTGACGGGGAGATTGTAAATAGTCTGTAAGCTCCACTCAAAATACGCTGAGGAATGCTGGCTGTGCGACTCGCCGCGTGAGAACTGGTCGTTCATCTGGATAAAGGGCCACTTGAACATTCTCATCATCAGCGGCGGTCTTCCACAGCGTCTGCGGACTGCACGTAGCATTAATCCATCACGAAATCATGCTTTTCTTTAATATTAATTATCGGTATCTCACGTGCAATCTGCTTCATCTCTGCGTAAAGTTTGCATGTGCGTGTGTGTATCAATGTCTTTTCGTTTGGCTGCGGTCTGATAACCTAACTTGTGCGCATGTTGGCACTCGCCATTTTTGTTTTACCAACATGCTATTACTTCTGTGTAAGATCTTGTTTTTCTTATGCGCGATTATCTCTTGTCACATGGCGCTTCTCGCTTGGCCGGGTCCGTTTGTGCGCTGGCCAGCCAGCCAGCTAGCCAGCAAGACAATTACCGGCTCAATGTAGTTAATGAACATTTATTATTATTATTATTATCGTTGTTATTAAATATTTTATAGTAAACATTAGCTAGGTTCTGTTAGCATGGTTTCTCTATAACTATCATCGTTAGTTATTCATTCCCATAGTTTAATCGCCACTGACGGCCCGAGCCCTTCAAATCGGCGTGTCAATGCCCCTTCCAAAGCAACCTTAGATAATAAACTATTACTATTCCCTTATCACACCATTACAATTATTCTCATTTTTATCTATATTTTAATGATAGTAGAATATTTTTCGTAGTATACTCATATGATTATGGTTATATATCCATTTATATTATATAATGGTGATACATATACATAAATGTATATATATATATATATATATATATATATATATATATTCATGGTAGAAAATCAACGGATTGGTAGATGAATCAGCCTTTCAGAAATGGTTTTCTCGAAATTGACGCCATAATGATTTTAACAATACTAGGATCTGTCGAAATTTTAATATAATAATCGTTACGGTCATGATTTTTATGTAATCATCATAGAATCACTTGTTGCTTTATGTCACGTATCTGCTAGGTGATTTGATTCAGCTCGTAAATACTACGGTCCTTACCGAGGACGGTCCTCTGGATCCGATTATTAATCGATCAAACTAACAGCTGTTATTTATTATTACTGCAGGACACTGCTAACTTGTTAATCATGTTGCACTTCAATAGTTTGCAAAGGTGTCGTTGTCGTCGGTTGTTGTTGGCTACCTGTCAATAACCTGCCTAGTCATATGTTTGTTATACAGATACTTAAATATTTGTTAATATTTTATTGTTAATTAGGCAACACGTTTTGCTGATGATGTTTCGCTTTTTGTATAGGTCGCCTGTGTGTTTGTCCCTCTTTGCGTCAGGTTTATCGGCTCTGGCTTCAGTTTGTTTTTCTTTTCACTCGACTGTAAGAAAAACCATCACTCCTACTTCATTGCTTGGGTGGATCGACTTGTTTGTGTCGTTGTCGTCGACCATTTTTCAACTTTGCCACACTAACAATGGCCTTCGTGCTTGTCCGTTCCTTCTCATTTGTTTGATGTTATGTTATTATTAACGTCGTTGTTGCTGTTGTTGTTGTGTATTTAGCGACTGCTACTCTTCATATTCATGCTGCTTATAAGGAGCGAAGCGGAGGAAGAAATAAGCCAATCACTGTCAGACAGTCTTTCTTCTTATCCACAGATTTGTTGATCAGCGATGAAGTATCATCATCCAAAGGGATCAGGCGGTAGTGTGGCCTAGGTACGGTTTATGTGAACGATACATTACAGAAACTTTTAACAGAAGTAGTCATAATTGTAGAATGAACGACTACTTGCGACAAAGGCATAGGTTCGTTGGACTCTCGCTGGCTAGATTTGTGAAAATCAAGGCGCTTGTGACCTCTTTGTACACTTAGTAGGTGTGTAATCCTTTCCAGGCGATACAAAGAGATACGTCAGGGAACGAGGTCCTTCGACGACACCACCGTTCTAAATGGTTAGTGCTCAGCTCAAAATTGGTACCATTTCTTGTCCTTGTATTTGTTCATCAGTTGACTAGTAGTGCTAGCAAACATCTCGGCCTCGTTCATCATCCGTCCGGAACGCTCCTCCAGTTGCGATAGAGCCTGGCCCCGTTCGTCCAGTGCCTAAGATGTGTGGCCACAGAATAAAGGAATCACGATGAATAAAATGTGTCAGAATCCTATATCTGATTACTATGTGCAAATCCACAAAATATTAGAATCGATAGAATTTATCAGTTTGTTAGGACATCATTCCAACGATTTGTCTTGACTAACGTGTTTTCGGCATGTTTGAATATCGTGAACCTCACTTATCAGGCTTAGCACAAGCGATGCTCGTTGGTTAAGTTGCGTATACAGATATTTCTGCATCCTTTCAAATACGCTGATATGTCCGTCGAGGCATGGGCGTCATATCTTATATATAAATACAACTAAATTTTCTTAATAACTGTGTCGCATAAAAATGCTCAAACGATCCCAATAATGTCTATGTTGAAATAATGTTTTTAGAGCAAAATAATTTATTGCAACGTATGTGTAAGGGGTAGTCTTTGCTCTGGATGGTCAAAGACGTCTGATCTTTGAAATGCATACATAGACCTGTACTGACTAGATGTTGCAATTAATCCGAGCGCTGGTGTAAACGTTTGTCATCGCAATAAGCCATTTTCTGGCGCCACCGTTACAATGATATACCGTTTCGAGTATCTATACACGGTCTATGAACTGTGCCTTTACTGAGCCACAAATGTATGTTACCGAGAACTACTTGCGTATACAGGCTAAATTTTAATAATGAAGAAATGTATGTAAGAAGGAAAAGTAATGATGGCTTTTTAATTAGACATAATTATCGACTATGATTTACGCGTCATAAATTACGCGTACGATAGCAATGTTGCGACACGTACCTATAATTGACATAATTTTGCTCAGAATCTTGATTAGGAATTGCAAATGGGGTCCAGTTAGTTCGATTGAACACTGAGATACGACTCGTTTTCGTTTTCGTGTGGCGTAGTAGCGTGGATCGAAGGTAAGCGGCCAGGTTTGCAGTAGACTGTTTCGTGTATATAGTCAGAACAATATCACCAAGGGTGAAGGTGCATTTGAGTCGAACAAGTCTTATTGTTTGATTTTCCTTCATCCAGCCATAACGCCAAGCAGGGGCTTATCACTTTCTAATTCCAATAGTCTATTTTTGATTAACAAAATTAAACACACTGCAGGCGCAGAAATTTTTAGAAATTACAAATTTTTCGGGTTAATTTCCTCAACTAAGAATGCTTTCAAGCTGCGAAACGAAGAATCCTCAAACTAGCCTAAAGCACTGGAGATGAGTTATTCCATATAGACGAATTCGACTGACTTATCGTTTCGATGCTTGATGTTTCAACGGGAAAACGATGCCATATAGCAAACTTGTCGTACTTTGTCGATCTTGAAATTTAGAGATTCGTTTGGACCAGACGTAGCGAGCCATGCTCGAGTTACGAAAACATTCAAACCGAGGCCATTGACATATAGTGTAGATAGTAAAGAAATGCTCACGATGGCCAAAGGTAAAAGTCTCTTATTAGGAAAACTCCTGATATTGCCAAAGCGACGTCCGAAATGTACCGTCTCTTTAGTTATAACACACAACAGTCTTCATGTTCGACTGAATACAATGTCCCATGATGAGCAATTGCCACTGTTGAGTGGCTCAAAGTAGTGCTCACCACCACACAAAGAGGTTAACAACAATCGGTGAATCTCAACTGTATATTTCTGGATTTCAAAGTCTACTGTAGGAGGTCGTGCTTTGAAGGCAGTCTTAAGCGCTCGTGAAAGACGCTTGACAGCAACTGGTATGATGATTCGAATGTGCTGATAAGGCTATCCATGCGCCAGCGGCGGACCTAAATGCGAACCCGTATACAAGACTGCCATTATCAATGGCTGCAATAATGGCATAAATGACAAAGTGAAGTCCACACAGAAAGGGCACAGATCAGTTCTTCAGCGAAACTTCATGGCCTAATTGAACCTACTGAAACGGGTAGCTGCAATTTAAAAGCAGGCGTGCTAGTTTGCGCATGATGAAAATAACTGAATCGCACCCTGTTGCAGGCTGTCATTTGTGAAGGGGTTCATTGTTTTTTGTACACTTACCAACAATTGAAGATGTATTGCTATTACAAACGACACTGTTAAGTTTCCATTAGGAAATGGCAATTAGCTATTTGAGAAAGTACAAAGTTAAAATAAAAATGACACGAGCGCGAAGTAAAAAGTTGATACACGCACGCCGTATCATCAGCGGATTTGTCATTACCAAATTAAATTTTTCATCATTTTTCTTTTAATAATTAATTGAGTTGAGGCAATAATCATTGTTGTTCGTAGCTGAAGAAAACATCTAGAGAATCGGTGCTAGTTACAAGCATTATCTTATATATTTTTACTTATTTAAATTCGATTACTCAAGTCACGTTCGCTCAATGTTAAACGAAGATGGTTATTCAAACTAACCGCCTTGAAAATAAATATTTTCAGCTTCGTTCCTCTGTTTCGAATAGATGTTACAATCACTAGACCCCTGAGGCAATCATTAGGATGCAGACTTAGATACCATCACACACATGAATATCTGCACAGCCACAAACCTATCCAAGTCAATTATGGATCCTCCATTGATGCTATTACATGTTTATATCATGCTCCAAATAAATTTAGATTGTATATAGAAGCTTCGCGACGTGATGTTTTTAGTAGTTTTTTTTTCGGGAAATTCAGCTTTCAAAAAATTCCTATACGATCGAAATTTTTTTTGTTTTTTTATGACAGAATAGACGACGCTGGTATCGGATATATCAGAGTAGTGGAGAACCGCTAAACAGTTCAAGTAATAATGTCAATTTGGAAACTTGAACTTCTTTTTCTATGCCATGCCGAACGCAAAGTTCCCGTTTCATTGCTTAGGCAACTCAACAGATAATGTTGCATTCTATCGAAACGTCTATGCAGTAGCATAATTCTAGATTGATTAGCGTTTTAATTTGCGATCCATTTTTTTTTTTATCTCTAAGTAAGCTAATCTGAATAAGAAAATAGATTTGGTGGCTGATCTGCCCACACTTGTCAGATTTCTCAACTATTAAAAATAAAATTTTCAGTTTACTTTGTTCACTCGTTTACGAAAAAGTTAGCGTACGTAAAGGGTTCCGCGATAGCCCCAGTCGTCGTTTTGAATGTTTGGAAGAAAAACACGTTCAGCGAGAGCATGATGGAGAGGAGGGTGCAAATAATTTTGTCCGTGCACCGATCACTTGTTAAAACATACGCTATTCAAAGGGATAACATGAGTTTATAGGAATAGAATGTTCAGTTACAAATATTCTTTAGAATGTTGTTTTCTTACTTTATTTTAGTTGATTATAACCATCACAGCTGTGAAGGTCATCAGCAATTGAACAGGTTGAATTGCTGCTCATGCTGCTCTGGTATCTGTTACTGCGTCCACACAGATGACGGATCGATTAAAATGGCTACGTTCTGGTAGTACATACTTAGACGTGCATACAGCTAGATTTCTCTGAATCTATACCAAATTAAATGTTCTGTATCCAATGCCGCCAGTCAGGCGTTCCGTCGAAACTGTACTATTACGCCAACTCGATAGAGTAAAATCGAAGATAATACAATATTGGCAAAATGCCACTTCCTCTGACCAGCTGTATAATAGGCTACCGTTGAAAGAATAGTCATCCACCAGTTGACAGAAGGCCAAGGTTAGGAACAAGCTTCAAAACGATACTCAACGGTTTCTTGATAAAGCAAAATCACTTTAGATTAAAAGCCCCTTACTGCTCTCTAAGAATTTTTTCATTATTCGGAGCAAAAAAAAAAGGTTGTAAATTATACGCTTATATATTTGCGCTAAAATACACGTGCTCAAATGCACTTGCCCTAACAGAAAAAGAAACGTACAATTGTCTTCGGGCTTATCCACCACCGGCACCGCTTATTTGCGTCCTATAACAAAGGGTTGGTGCCCCCCCCCCTCCCCTGTAAAAATAGGATATATTATAAGTGATCTATAGACATATAAGGAGTGCTCAGATATATTAGCTGAAAAATTGCGTCCTGAGAAAGGTACGACATTTTGCTACTTCAAAGAATATTGGAAATGTCTAAATTTAAGGTTTCATGTTTAATAGCTCTCAACTGATATAAATGTGCTTTTTTTCTACGGCAAGATTTTGCTAAAAATAATACGATAAGTAATGTATATTGTAGTTTAGATTGCCCTCAGTGACTGACCATTCGCGTTCGGGCAACCTCTCCTGCAACGGTACCGGTCCGTTCCTTCATTCCTTCAAGATTAGCTGCGTTACCAGGAATATGACGAGCAATGGCTTTAGAAGCCTTCCCGCTACCCGCCGCTCCGACTGAAAATCCCAAGAATAACAACACTCATATACTACAAACTATAATACATTTTTAGGTATTTATAAATACTTCTAAGAGAAAGAAAATTAGATAGAAGCTATGAAAATGAGGGAGCGCAGTGTGAAGAAGCATTGTCTCCTCTTCAGTAAACTACAAAGTATCTTAATTTCTGTCATTTAACTTTATTCTTCCCAATAGGATCCGTAACACGTTGTCCGAACGGACCTCTGCGTAATCGTTAAGCGCAATTGAGAACAATATGTACTTTGATAGACTCGTACGACCTAGCTCCATGGACCGCGCGCGGATCTACGCCGCCAAAGAACAATTAGAATACTGCAGTGGCGGTAAAAGACAGCCACCTTTTGTTTAAAGGTGGCTGTCTTTCACGGCCACTGCGGTATTCTAATTGTTCTTTAATTAAAATAGGTATTTGTATTGTTTATACAAATACCTCTATTAATGTTTTATTTATTATTATTATTTTGTGTGCTATAACTTATTTTGCATAAAGGTGAACCATTACGACACTGGTGGCACTGCTAACGATTTTCGTTGGGGGCGCGGTAGAAGCAATTGAATGAAGCCAGTGAATTAATATGGGTACGTATGTAGTCCTGTTGGTTAAACGTACCTACACTATGAGCTTATTGTAACTATTGAAGACTCATTGTAAAATGTTTTATGCGGTAACTATAGACCTCACGCAAAAGTATCCATGCGAAATTATACGATTCCGTTTGAACAGCAGATAGTGCTCTTCTGTTTTCTAATTTCGGTGAGACATTTCCAATGAAATCTAAGATATTTCGTTCCACTTTGGGGGCGAAGGAAGGGATAGATGTTGTACGTTTTTCCTACCTTCCGTAAGACATAGGGCGTCCCCAAGAGGCGAGTAAGATCTTTCCTCAACGATTTACCAATGTTACGCTCTCTACGGGGGCTTCTTTTTAACGAAGCTGTTAATAATCAACTCGATCTCTTTTTAAGAGATATCGTTTTCTATGTTGTCCACATATTACGATAGGAACCCAAATGGTATGCACACATCATTAATTTTTGCGGTAACGTTAAATTTTGTGAGTCTTTTTCTAGCATCTTATAATTTAAAATTTTCTATTGTGCCTTTGTTTTTGCAAATCCTACATTAGGAGAGCCGTTTTTCTCTCCCTCGAATATGCAGGTAAAAGGTTATCGTACCAGTTGGCCAACTTCTGTTTTACCTCTCAGGCCCTCAGAGTTAATCTAGTGTTCTGGCATTGAACAGCTTGCGTTGAACTTTCCCTCCTCCTCACGTTCAGAAGTATTCTTTCTGCTCCATCATTTTGCTGCTTATGGCGAAGATCTTCAAGAACATTTTTAACTATAGCATCCTACTGTGAAAGAATAAAAAAGTCTTCGTTCGCTATTTGTACCTATTACACTTGCAATTAATAATAGATACGCATTAAACGTGTCAAAAAAACGTAAACGTATTAAACACTGTGTGCGTCTAAAATCTTGCGAGGAATTACTCACATAATTCCTCGCGATCGAGGATACTGGGCCCCCCTCCGAAGAGCCCTTTAAAGAAAGACTGCTTTGGAGCTTCAGGCATTTCTTTCGTTGTATGAACGGTGCATTTTAGCTCCTGAAGCTGATTACAGAACTCTGCGCTCACGGTGAATTTCTGAAACTCGGTGGGCGAGCTCATATACAGACCATGGCCGTTTTTGCTTAGACAAAAGATTCGAGAAATTTTCGGGTCGACCAGCGTTTGCAAATCGTCCTCGAAGACAGGTTTCAGCGACGGAAGGCTATGTATCAGAATGCTGCCGTTTGCAATATACGACACCAAACATGGCACATCTGAAAAAGTAGACAATAGGCAATGAAAGAAATATCGGCGCTTCTTTTACATTATCTATTAAGTTAGCGAAAGTTTGCAAGGATTTTTTAAATTTAGTTTATAGCTTTTAATACTAATCGGTGCTTACCACATGATTTGAGCTGCATCACGTCAGCGCATATCACAAACGAGGTGTCGGTGAGGTTCGTCTTGATGACTGTATTCTGGGAAGGAAGGCTGACGACGCGGGCAAGCTTCTCGCTTACCAACACGGCTAGATGACTATTTGCGGAAGTAGAAACACTCCGAAGCCGCCCGCCGTCGGACACCAGCTGCGCGCCGCTGCTATCCATAAAGCCGATGCAGAGCACCGGGCTTTTGAGCTTGAACAGGGTCCCTAGATCGATGATATGTAGAAAGAGTCGATCGAATGAAGAAAACCTAGTTAACTTTCCATCAATCAATAGGTGATACTAGGCTACCCTACAGAGTGCTTATGTAAAAAAAATATTTACAGAATAGTACAGTATAGATACTCGTTGTAACCATTATTGTTATCACTGTTATGATACCTCGTATTCATACCTGAACCGGGAGAAGCGAGGGCCGAGCGGGATTCGTTGGCGAGAGTGAGCGGCAAGAGTAATACGGAACCCAAACTTGTGCCCACCCAAAGTGACGGCGTCGCCGACGAGCAGTCGCCCTTCTTCGAACAGAACGTGTCGCAGAAGGTTAGGCACGTAATTGCCTCATGGGAAACATTCTCCAAACTCGATATCGATGACGAGCGGGATCGTGAGAACGAGCAATCTGCTCGTCGCCGAATACAATAGTGTCACGATAATTTTGATCATTGTCACAGAAGAAGAAGAAGAAGAAATCACCACCGTCATAATCGTCGTCGTTGACAACGACCGATCATCAGCAATGAAGATGGTTGCAGCAGCGATACATTGTCAAGATGGAAGCATCATAGACCGATGATAGGAATTGTGGCAGCATCACCAACATGATAGGAATTACATTAGTTTATCGTTTAGCAGTTACAAAACTTACCAATCACAATTCAAAAACACAATCCGGAAGTTTAGGAAACAAAAAGCACGTAGAAGGTGCTACGGAGAAACAGCGCGACAAAACTACTTTACTAGAGCCAACGGCACCAGGACAGCATTGCGCACTTCACGTTGCGATGCGCCATCTCAGCAAAAGGCTCACACATACACACATCTAAATATAAAAAAGAAAGATCACATGAAGTGAAATTGAAGCCATAGAGAGGACGATACATAATGAGATAAACAAGAGACCGACGGAGAGATGCTGATTGAAGGAAGATAACCTCGGTAGAGACAACAACAGCAGTAGCAATGGTCGGATAGGGCAGAGCAAATTTTAACGCCAAACAGTTACTGATAAAAAAGATCGACAAGAAACACTCTGAATGATGAGTCTCTATGTAGCGTCCTGCTGTCTGGGTGCAGCTGCTCTTGTAAAGTGAAGATGGAGACCCCGTTACCGGCGTCATCCAAGTCGCGACCGCTTTCCTACAGATTTTGACACCAGACCAGAGGCAGGTAATAGAAATGTCTTGAACTGCCCGAAGTACGCAGACTCTTCGGGGTCCTTGCCATTACCGGCTTTCGGGACGCCCTGGTTTGGCGTCCGCTAGAAACATGAACACACGTGCCGCCAAATTAATGAAGTAGCGAGCTTTTTCAGCATTATGGACATGCATATTACAAAAATGGGTCTTTTGCCTTAACGAAAGTCAAAACACCCTCCGTTATAAACGACTGACAATCAGCAAAACTAATTAATGAGTTGCAGGTACAAGTATGTATTACGAACTATCGTAAGCTGATGTATAGAATGCTCATGAATTTTAACTCCAAAAAAAAAAAAACAACAACACGCTAGCTAATTACGTGACTTATAACATTCGATGGCATGATTGATGAGGATGAGAGTGATGAAACTTGTGTGTATGTACAATGAGGGAGAAAAGATAATGATCAAAAACACAGAGGTATATACACACCCATATATATATATATATATATATATATATATATATATATATATATATATATATACGGTTGGATGGGGAGGCGTGCAAGCGGGGTGAATGTGCCCGTTTAATTTAGTCCATCCCAGTTAGCCGAGGTCTGCCGAAGAAGTCCATCCATTTATCGATTAGTAAGTGAACTGGATGTGCAGTTGTGTGAGAGTCGAATGAAGTTCCGCGAGACTCTGCGACGGGTGGTGGAAAAAAATGGAAAGGGTGACGGGGGAAGTAGATAAGTCAACGGGAAGAATGAGTCTCACGTTGCTGCCAAGACGAACTCGATAAACTGAACCTGCTTCTACTGCCAGTATTCACACAGACACTAGCGACAACACCCTGACGTGCGCGTTTGCTGTGACTTGCTAAGGAGGGCGGATCCGGGTTCATACTGTTGAACAGGATAGTAACATTGAAGTAGACGGGAACCGCTGTTTAGCTGTTGACTCCCTCTCTTGTTGGATTAGTGAAGGGAGGACTAGGGAGAGTGTGGACGGACCTAGCAGAAGCGAGGGTTGATGCTTGCTTGTCTAGGGTCGGCCGGTCGCTTGGTCGACAAGTCGTTTATCGCAAGTTACTCTAGAGGACCGTCGATGATAATCAAATGGGCAAGAACAAAAGAACGAAAGGCTAGACGTGGACGATGTTATCAAAAGGAACAAGACAAGAGTAGACAGGACTTCTCTCCATAAAGTCTACCGTCGATAGGTCGGCCTGCCACGGTCTGATGCCGTAATGGTGATGGCGAGCAGAAGATGTATCCAAAACAATAGAGCCTAAGAATGAGGAAAGTAGAGTGCAGCGTAAAGACAATACTGGTGCACATCATCCAACTGGCTGCAACCTAAGCAGAAGACAGCCAACGACCGGTGGTTCTAACTACGTCGACGATAACGATGACATAAGTCGATGTTTCCAGGTCAGTTCCCTTCGCTATACTTTAAGAGCTGTAAGTGCACCTTGATAACGGCTTATCGTTTTTTGTACTTTCGTATATATATAGGATCTCTTGAGTTATTTATTTTAGGGCAGCTGAGCTGTTCAAAAGAGGAGAATTGTAAATGTAGTATTACGCCTAACGTTGTTACGTTATTTAACACGTAAAGGGTGTCGTGCGGAGAACGGAACGCGCAAGACAGCGATGCAGAATAGATATTGTGGCTGGATTTCCCATCGTAACGTATCAGTTGAGACTGGCTTATTATATTGTTCTATGCTTCACACACCCGTTAGTCGTTAAACGTTGAGATTAGCATTGCTTATGATTAGTAGGGGCATGTTTTCACAAAGATTAGATGCGTTCATAAAAATTGCCCAGACAAAACAGACGATATTATGTTAAGGGTTTTTAAGGCTTATTCTTATTATTATGCACGTCTCTCAGCGTTCTTATTGATGTCGTCTACTGGTTGCAAAAATATAACACAGTAGTTTTTTGAAATACGTTTTTACAGTGATTACTTTTCCTCGTGTTTTTTAATAATACACATATACATGAACAGTACGCTAGTATAGTTTAGATTTTAAGTCGATAAGCGATTTCAAAACACAGAATTTAATATTATTTTTCATAATATTGGTGTAAGTTTAACAGTAACTGTTACGACGACTATAAAGGATAAAAAGAACCATAATGAAACAGTTTCATTTAAGCGCTAGGCACAGTTTAACATGGAAAAGGCCGCAAATGAAAGGGAACAACAATTCGTCAAGTTTCAACAGGAAAATCGGTAGCTCAACGAACCTCGAAAAGAAAATGAAATGTAAATTACAGTGAAGGCTTTTAGCTATAAGGTAATTATAGTAACTAGCTGGTTTTAGTTAAAAAAATCGGAAACCACGTTAATTTTATTGTTCCTAAAATTTAGCAATGCGGAATTTTTGTAACGGTAGTGGTGCGGTATGTCCTCAAAACATAATAAAGAAAAGCAACAAACCAGAAACGGAAGACGAGCAATAGACGTTGCTAGTACAGAGTCGTAGTAGTCGCGTTAGGCTGTTACAAGCGAGTTCGGCATATTCTCTACGCGACATAATCTTGATCCACGCACCTCTAGCAAACGAAATTTAGCTAGTGGATACTCTGTCTTTTTAAAAACTCATGCTTGAAGACCGGTTAGGTTTAGCCGGGGGAAACTAAGTGCAGAAGAAACATCCTTTAGTCTGGGAAATTAAGGCTTAGTTGTCTTTTTGTCCTTCAAAGGACATACCGCTGCAAGCATTCATCAAGAATTGCTGATGGATTTAGGCAAGGAAGCCTAAGCGAAAGCGCAATATGTACATGGGGCAAACGTTTCAAGAACTTAGATTGAAACGTTCAAACCAGTGAGGAGGTGGGTAGATGTCGCGACCCAAAAGTCAGATTGGCGTAGTTGAAAAGGCTTTTCATGGAAACAGAACTTTTAATGTGAAAGCTTAATTAATGACCAGAACTGACATTTCACATGTAATGTGTCATTGAATTATAACCCAAGCACAGACTCTAAGTAAAAAATAGTTCCCCCGTGAATTGGTTTTTTGTTGAAGATGCGTGTGGTGTATTCTACGTGCAACTTGCGGCCTTTCGCCTGGAGTATATGGTCGTTATAGACGAAAAATGATGCATTTTCATTACCAGCCGGTGGGTAGTTAGGCGAGAGAATGAGAGAAATAGAGTTCAGTGGCAGTGTGGAGTAATTTTGGTCGTACTCGCAGTGGATATCAGGGGCGTCTGCTAGTGTTAAGTATTCGGCAAAAAAGTGAAACAATGAATACAGCCTTCTATTTCAAGTTCCTGAGGAGAGTCGTGAATCGTTGGCAATCTCATTACATGATAACAACGTCACACTTCATCGCTATGCCTCTATAGCTTCTTGTATTGAGTAGAGCAGTAGCTAAGGTTGGCTTACCAGGTTTATTCTCCCGATTTAGGTCCGCATGACTACGTAGCTTTCCATACCCTAAAAAGGGCAAGTAATGGACAAGCTGCTAGAGTGCTGGCTCAAACGTGTAACAAATAAAAGAGAGTACCTTTAAGACATATTAAAAAATTATCATTCTAACCCAACTAGTCCAAAGATCACTAAATTTCAAAGTCCGCCGGATTCGCTTGTAACAGCAGAGTAATACTAACAAAGGGTGCCGAAAAACACTTATTGATAGAGATAACAAGGACAAGGACAGTATGATACGCTAAAGATATGACTGCAATAAAAAGGTACTGTAGTAATCAAAATGCTGATTAGTTTTATTGGTCATGTGACAAGGCCCCACAGCTAGCAGGTAGTAAGCTGCTCAAATACGTACGTACATACATAAATGCCATTTTAATCTGTTTCAAACTAAACTAATCTAAGAATTTATTTGCAGTCCAATTAGGCGTGTACTGTTCATTTTGAGAGTGGGCAACAATATCTATATATAGGAGAGAGGTAAATAAAGGCAGCTAGAAGAAAACGTGTTGTGTATAAATCAGTCGAGTCAGTCAATATAGAGTGATAAACTAGCTTGATCAGAAGCAACAATTCAAGCGGTTCTTTATTTAGCTCTACACGATATATATATATATATACATGTATATATATGAGAGAGGGGGGAGAGAGGGAGAGAGAGTAATGCTACGTAGCTCTGCTCTGCACTTGACAGCACACCTAAAATGTTTGACCAAATAATAAAGAATCATCTTTGTATATATATATACACATAGATATGTTTAAGAAACGTTTGCTATTGTAGCCTATTAGATTCCTCTTCGTCACGACTGATCACAGTAATGCTATCGCACACAAATTAGCTAGTGCTTTTTTTTACTAATTTCAATTCAGTTCAGAGGACGTGTGGTTTCAGAGCAGTAGCAGATAGACCGAACGGCGATTATTGGTTTAGATAGACTGAGCAACTTTTGTTATGATCGTTGCTATTGCAGCTGCAGGGTAATTTGCGCTGACATTTACGGATGCTTCAGAATCGCACACCACTGGTGCACAGCTTAACGCATTGAACGCACAGAAAGACGCACGCCGGACAAAATCACGTTGGTCGGCAGTACACAGCAATTTAGCGTCAGCCTGTCATGCCCACGCCCATCGGAGCCCGCTCGAAATAAAGGTCGCCGAGCTGCGTTAAGTCGAATGTACATAAACATGGCGCAGAAGCGTGCGCCTTAATCAAAGGGCCAGGGCCTGGGAGCCAATCAGTCGTAAGTCATCTGGGAAGTGTTGGACAACTCGTGCCTTTCTAGTCACCTGAAGAGGACGTAGCGGCGATGTTGTTAGACGCCGTAAGCAAAAATTGTGGCGGTTCATCCTGTGATGCGAGATTGGGGTGCTTCTGGAGTAGCCTGCGACCCGGGTGCGCGCCCAAACTCGACATTGTCGTCAGCTGCTGATGCGAGGAAGCAGAAAGCCACGAGTCACTTGCGCCCCCCGATGTCTGCATCGATTTGGACCGGCGGTCTAGGTAGTGACGCTGCGACTTCAGCGTCGTCGGGCTCACACTCGCTGACTGTGAAGCAACCGTTGATACACGAAATGACCACGAAAAAAAAACGTCACGCGTGGGAGGGAACGGGAGAGAAACAAATCATTGGAATAAAAAACAACAGTAAAACCCAACGTAGTGGCGATTGTAATATAAATAAAAACATCGACAAACCAAGAGTTTGACCCAAACGAAAAGGGATAATTACGACACGAGTTTGGAGAATAACGACGTCATCCAGCAAAAATAAAAATTGGCAAATATATACCAGCCAACAAAGATAGGAAAATGATAATAATGATAGTAATTTGGGAATTTACAAAAAAAAAAAAACAAATGAAGGGGACGGAAAACCCAAAACGAAACACAATTGGCCCCGCCGCGTGTGGATCGGGATGTAGTTGATGGTGTAGCATTGTGATCGATGATAGAAGACATCAGTCGATTGTGGTAATGACCATGATGATAATGATTGTTGTGTTTCAAAAGGTCGACAAGAACGATTCGGAATGGAAAAGTAGAAGAAAAGTCAGTATATAACAATAATCGTTGTTATAGTAATAGCGTAGACAAAGAGATGGGGGGAATCGTTAGAAGCGTCAAATGGATTCAATTTAAAGTAGTTTATTGTTGAAAGGATTTTTTTGTCGTGTTAGACAGAAAAAAATTAGAAAAATTGGAAGAGATAGTATAAAGGTATGATGTGTTTATTTATTATTTTTCGTTACAAGGCGACGATTGACAGATAACCCACAAAATATAGGCCCATCCCACCGTAAGACAGGTCGAAAGAGAGCGGTAAGTTGATTGCAGACAAGAACGTTTTCCAATTGAATGAATACCAGTAATCAGAAGTGTATAAATATGCCACAAAGTGAAAAATACGATAGCTCGAATATTGTTTTTAATATAATATTAAGTTAGATTAGCAGAAAAGGGATTATCGAGGTGATTTAGTCAGGCGATATTAAAGAGGTAAAGACGCAAACAAAAAAAACACAATATCAATCGGTCGTGTTATGATAAGTGAATATGGTCGTTGTAGTTATTATTTTTTTTATCGTTGATTTCAATTGAAATCGATAATTGAGTGTGTTATGTGTCAGCATCGTCGTATCGTTGTGGGACCGCCGACATGGAGTGGAATATCAGACATCGCCACCGACCGCAGGAAGCCAATTAACGACAAACATACAACAAACAAATGACAATGTTGTTGGTATTAATCAGACGATCATGATTGGATGATTATGATGAGTTCTGTCGATCAAACAAAATTCTGATCGAGTATGGGTTAATAGCCATTTCATTCCCCTCAGCCCCTTCTGATTAACTCTGTTCTAACTAGTTACCTGCACGCTGTAATTCAACCCGGAATTTGGGGACGGCGTTAGGCTCCGATTTTGGACGGTTCCGCGACGATCAGATATATATAAACACCCACACACACATACAGAGCAGCAGCAGCAGCAGCGACAGCGAGGGCCGTCCACCAGCGATCGCGCCGTCGACCATTGAAGGGGTTAGCGTAGTTTTTTCAACAAGTCTAATATCTAAAGCTATCTTTATAGATATACTGACTACTCGCGACAGGTTCTGAGTTTTGCATAGCTATAGATACATCAGTAAAGACATATATGAATGTTTAATGAAAGCAGCGTATGATATAATTGTTTGAAGGATTTTTATCTTGAACCATTTACAGTAAATTCTCGATCTCGGGTGGAGACCATGTGGCTTCGCTACTGTCTTCAGTGCTCTCTATTTGCACTTCGAATCAACCTCAGATATCTCATTATCATACTAACTAGAACATCTTAAATACCATGTAGTATAACAACTAAGAAAAACAATCACTTTAAAATAGATACAAGCTATTTCTAGTGAACAGCTGGGTTAAAGCTACTTAGAGATTACCCAGCGACTCATGATATTTATTACTTCTATTTGACCTCCTTAGTTCTAGCAGCAGCAGCAGCAGCAGCAGCAGCAGCAGCAGCAGCAACGTTCATGTCTATCGGCTAAACATTGCCTTAAATAAATCCCAATAGACAGCGTGGCGCTGCTTTTGTTCGCGCCAATGACGGCGGCATCCGCTACGACGACGTGGTGGCGACCGGGACCGTTGCCGCAATTTTCAATCTCCCCTTTCCATAGTTTCCCGTCATCATGATCAATACACACGGGGCACCTATTTGCTCCTTTCCCAGGCTAGTGCCATTGCTGCCCTTGTTACTACGATAGAGACAAAAACTGCTGTAGCTCTTACGTTCTCTAGAATGTGATGTACCGGAAAACGGATATCGTAATCGCTGGTCGGAGGAACCCGATGGATTTCCTTAAGCAGGCAGGCTAGCGCCGCCACTTCAGTACCACCAGCGGCACTAGCCTACTCCCCTATCTTTGAAATTGGAAGTGTGCTGCTGCTGCTGCTACTGTGAAGCTTCAGGAATCTTACAGAGGTAATGGGAAGTAATGTTGTGACTACATCCGCTAGCCAAACGCACAAATATCTTGGGTCAGAAGCCTCCTTCGTACTAACCTGGTCGGGGGAGCTCTCGGCAGGATCCGGAAGACCATTATCTTGCCTCTTCGGGGAGCGCGGGGACCTCTGGTAGGGGTCCGCAGATCCTAGAGGGGCCAATTCGACATCAATATTCGAGACGATAAGCGGAGCAACAGCGATACCAACAGCACAATGAGAACAAGAAAATACAGAGGCAATATTTTCATGGCTAGTTGCTATAATAGTTATTTATGGGGATCCAAAACGAGAAGCCATAGTAGTAATACGAGCCAAACAAGTGATAGACACAGACAGCCCTGCATAGGAAAACCCGCATACAAGGCCAATCAGAAATGTGTCGGTCGTCATCTGCGCGTAACGGCAAAGAGCTTACTGAAGTTAGTATGTGCACATATGATGTGAGCGGGAATCAGAATATAAGAAGCGAGATCCAGACACCGTAAAGCTGTTATTCGAAGTAATCCCAGTTTCATTCGTAAGCAATGAAAATGTCTAGTGCTCGTTAGTGCAGCCTGAGACTTAATATAAATCGGAGTTACGCGTGGCCAATAAACGAGGTAATGGGCCGAACAGCTTAAAACGAATTTATTCACTAAACAAAAATGCAAGCGAATGTTTGATTTGAGGTTAAGCCTAGCTTAAATTGAAGCACAATTATCCCACAAATAACTTTTTTACCATACGTGATTGGAAACGGCCCACTACATCGGTCCAACACATCACCCAATCGGTGAAGACTGTTAGAGAAACTGTTGTCTTTTATTACCATTAGTATAGCTGTTGTTATTATTATTGATTATATTTAGTATTTTTGATTGCGCACCATAACTGCAATGGTAACATAAATGAACGCTGTGTTTTCAGTTTTTTCAGCATGTTAACTTTTATACATTGTTAATGTTATTGTATCTGTTAGAATGGAGCTGGCCAGGAAAGTAGCTCAATGGGATCATTTGTCAACCGTCAATACCTTTGCGTGCCTTGCCAGTGATTATTTGCTCTCTTTTTTTTTTTTTATTTGTTTTAATAACGATCAGCAGCAAGGGAGTAGCAGATACTTGGGCGGGGCTTACGGGTGGATGGTGACGAAAGCATACGCTGCAAGGTTTTCTTGCAGGCGTCCGCTATCGTCTCCTGAATTGACGTTCCCCGTCGGAGGGCGTCCGCTCTGCGACTTCTGCAACGATTGGCGCCGGAGCTACCGCCGGGCTTGTCCTCAGCTTTTTCGGCAACTTTACCGTCCTTGAAGATTCCTCTATCAGTCGAGCTCTTGTCGGCGCCCCTATCTTCTTTTGTTAATGTTTTGCACTCAACACAGGGTTTCTGGTCCTTGGAGAAAACCTTTTGTCGATCGGTAGGCGTGGTCTCACCCGACGCAGAGCCTGTCCTAGAGGCGGGATCCGTTTCAGCAGCCCGACAGGTAATAGGGTTCATAGGATCAAGAGTGGGCTGATGGCCACAAAGAGATGAAGGTGGAAATTGGGTGGGAGAAATGGGTTGACTGGAAGGAGACTTATTGGGCTGGGGCTCTGTGGAGGGAGACCCATGAAACCGTGAGTTGTTCAGATCGAGTTTACAAAAAGAGCTACGCCTCAATCGGCGACGCAATGTGCGCTGCGTTCCGCGAAAAGGCCCCGAAAATCGTACAGAGTTCAGTCGAATCGAACGAAACCTAGATATACGCAAAGAAAGTCGCATAGGTGATCGTCTACGAAAGGATAAGCGTTGAGATACTTTGGGTAATCGTAGAGAATTTTTCCGAATGAAATTTGAATACAAATCTGTAAACCGAAGCGTCGTCAACATAAGACATTGTTGACTGTTTAGGCTTAGGCTTCGTCCAGTTCGACTACTATTTTTCTGTCGGTTTTATATATCGCTCGCTCACTGGCTAACTGCTATAAACAAACGAAGTACTTGAACCTAATTAAGACCACGAATTTCAAGACTGCACACCAACGTTATAGGTAGAAAGACCCACTATTTAAAAAATTTCTGGCCATGCATGTCTTCCTAATGCATTTGTGATTTTCACAAAAAGACAACGTAATCAGTAATAGCGGAACAGCGCACTGGCGCGAAAGTTGTATTCCGTCAAGTTGAACTTTTGTGGTTGATAATTATCAATATATTAACAAGAAAACTATAAAAGTTTTTAGAATGACTTGTGTAATAAAAAAAAACACCACATCATTTGCTTGGATCAAACGACCATTTTTTCTGTCTATAATGCAGCCTGAACGGTTTTACATAAGACGCGCTGTTTAAAATAAGACATAAAATAGAAGGCTGTTCGTCGTAGCGGATATGTGTACGTCCGTGACTATTAGTGTTGGAAAAAAACTGGCTTTTACAAGAGCCGAAACAACAAACTCGCCATGGGAGAAAACAGTGCGTTTACACAATCTAGCTATGAAATCAGCGAGTGTTCAACCTCTTCCTTCGCGCCGGACGAACTTCCGACGAAAGTAAGAGCTTCTTTTTTACTCGAACTCTACGGTACACCGTGTTGCTAAGGTTCGCGCAGCTTATAAAGAATCCGGTGAAGATTTTCATAAGACAAGCCTGATAATTTTCAATAGAGTTCAGATAAAAAAAAAAAGATTTAAAAATCAAAATCAAAATGACAACAGCGGCCATTTTTAGCAAATCTCCATTTTAAACCTTGCGAATTTAGCTTTTGATTCTAATATCAACTATAAATCGGGCCATCTAGATATGCATTAACGGTTAGTCTTGTTGAAACTTTCGGCACTTTTTGGCCGCGTTGAATCCCTTTTTTTTGCCCACTTTTGGAACTCTTAATGGCAAACTTAAATTGCTCTGGAAATTTATACGACACTTGAACAGGATTATCAGGAAACATGTCAATTCAGTTTGACTCACGATTACTAAGAAACGGTATTTGCGGATTAAGAAGGAAATAGTTTAAAAATGATTAGTAACGTCGCTTAAATCTCGAACTGAAGATGGACGAAATTGGATGTTCATAATGGATAAACATAACGTCAGAGAGATACTCTTAGAAATGGCAGCAAAAATCTTTAAAATATTTGCTTTCATTTAGATACAGTATTAAAATCAATTCACGGGAAAAACTCTTGTCTTAGACGGATGGTGCATTTGTTTTTTATCGTTTATTTTACAAGGATTTTACAAGCTTATCGGAATGCGACTCTTTTAGACTCTCGTCATTTTCGTCTATGACTCCCAGTGAAAAGTTTCTTTCAGTAGGTTATATCAATCTATCGATGATGGTTTAGTATTATTTACTTACCGTAGAGTTCGGGCGTTGCAAAGTTGAGGACGCAGGTGTTATGGACAGTGTCGACGACGACGAGCCCCGAGTCGTTACCGAAGGCTAGTAGATTATAGGCAGAGCTGACGGCCATACAGGTTACGTGGCGAGCAGAGTCGGCGTTTCCGCCGGCGCCCGATGAAAGAAACTGGCAGACCAATGTCGGTTGCAGGCCAGCTGCCCATTTTTGAGGACAAGGCCGAAGCACCATACGTTCTCCACTGGTGACTTGTCCTCTTGGTAGAACCTCTATCGGAGCAGGTTCTTCCATCTCAAAATGGATAGGCGTATCGAGAACTGCGCATCAACAACAAAGTAAGGCATCAATAATAGAAGCCTGCCGTGGTACAAGGATCACTCACAAGATTTGAAGGATGTTATTTCCATACAAGTGTTGTAGCATAATAGTACCACTGTGAATTACTGTGGTAACTTCTCTTTTACATTATTCTGATAAATTCGCACCTGTAACCGAGCAGCTGCCCTCTGCCTTGGCAAACGAGAAGAGCGCCACGTAAGATGATCCGGCGATGGCCAACTGCCGTCCCTCGGGGTCGAACGACATCTTTTCCACGATGAATGGATGATCGTCCGATTTCAATTTTTCGAATAATCGCGACGTTTTCAATCGATACAATAGCTGAAAGAAGCGCACTAAGATGTTTATTTATCCCTACCTTATTTTATTGGTGAATGCTTGTAAAATATTTGTATGGTCGCATCCGTCTAATTTCAGGTAAGCGTTTCTGAAATTGAGATGTCTATACGAGAGACAAATTGAACAGTCTGTGCAAGACTTCAGTATCTGAACTTCTAAAAAAAAGCCAATTGTAATATGGGAAATTAAGAGGTACTCCATAGATAATTTATAGATCGGCACGATTCAGTGTTACAGAATGTGTTTTTATTATTATTATTATTATTATTATTATTATTATTATTAATGTTATTATTACTTGGAAGCCCAAAGAGGATGCGTCCCAGAAGCGGACGGATCCGTCGGCATGTCCGGTAATGATGACTTCGGGGTAGGATACTATGCCCTGGCCCCATTCACCACCAGTGATAGGCCACTCGCGCTCAGAGAAATGGCGCGATTGGGCGGATGCCCTGGCACCTACTGAGTACAGACATGGAATGAGTTCGCCCGGGCAGTCTGCCAAATACTGGCAGCATATTACCATGCTTTCGTGAAGGTCCATCGAGTACGGGTTGCGGAAACACGGATACCTAAAAATTGAAAATAGTGTTATGTTAGAAGCTTATGGATGCGCGCTATATGTGATACGCAAATGATTTCTCGTCAACGCTCACAAGTACCTTAGCTTCAGATTCTGCCTGCCACTTAAAAGTCAAGGAGCGCAATAAACAGTAACACATGAAAAAAATTTACAATCATATGAAATGGCTGTTCTTTGCAGGTCACCGACGCAGGTGAGTTAGACGCGCCAACGTCTGTATCCAACAAGATAAAACAAACACATTAGGGATAGGCATACAAATGAATGCCTACAACACTCACTTCTTGTTAGCAAATCATTAGTGTGGAAGATTCTAGAGGATTCGTTTTCGCCCAAAACCTATTCATCCAGAAGGGTAGATTTAAGAAGTTGCACAGTCATTTTGTGAATAGGTGTAACACCCTCGAGGTATCTGTTTGCTCCCAAACTATGCCCCTCTGGGATAAGCAATAGGTCGTTTTTCAACACAAGGCCCTAACTGACTTTGTTATTATAATTATGGTTATAGGAGCAAGCCCATAAAGAAAAATAACCTAGTAATTGTCTACTTTATTAAAAAGAGTTCGCCGCCTACAACAACCTAAACATTAGTATAAGGAGGTGGGTTTTAACCTGCAACCGCTACAGGGACGAATGCTTCGACCATGACTTTCCTATATGGCGATCGCTCATGTATTTCGGTAACTGATTGATCATGCCCTGTGAAACTTGTCACAAGAGAGCGCAGTCCTAATAGAAATTCGTTAGAAGAGCATTTTGCTACATGTGCATGTTAAATTCGTTTGAAAAAAAATTGAGCCAAAGACAGGTGTGCAAGCTGTTGTTACTCACCCGTGGGTCAAAAGGTCAACAACGACGAGATCGCTACGCAGTAAAACCACCACGGCAAACGGGTCTTGCGTGTCGAATGCAAATGGCGACTCGTCGAGCGTCAGGAAGTCAAGAATTGGGCTCTCCATCTCCAGCACCGTAGTCGACCTGCCCTGGGACACAGTCAGGGTCGACACCTCGCTGTTGCCTTTCTCAAAAGGGAGGCCACCTTAACAATGATGCGAAGTGGTAAACCCATAGGAAAATAAAAAGGATCAGTAGCCCAATGCGATTAGAAGATTATATAATGATCAAACTGGTTGTTACTAAGCAATCGATGCGTTCTTAATACCATTAGACTTTAGATCTCAGGGCCTCATTGGAAGGGCTCCGAGGTAAGATAACCTAGACAGTACCTAGGTTAGTGTGCACAAAAGAAATTCTCTCTTTTGCGCAAAATTGGCTGGCCTAACTTCTTTACTTCGACAGGTTTCTCACGAAAACGATCGCTGTATAGTGCCCGATCGATCATAAATCTTTAAAACAACATTTGTAAATTTATTCAGCCGGTCAGTTATTCTGCCAGTTGCATTCACTTCGACTTCTAGTACTCAACTGGGTGCCATTTTAGCTTTTTTTTCACAAGCAACAGAAAGATTTATTGTGAGCACCTGTTAGGAAAAACTACACGAAAAATTTCAAAACGTGCTTCGGAAATGTTTGTCACAGGAAGTTTAACTTATTTGGTCTTTGCTTTTACGGTCTATCGTATATGTATAACTCGTATTAACTTTTATAGACGAGTGCTCACCATAAAGCACACACGAGGAACCTAGATACCGATCTTGCGCACTTGTTGATTACACTCATCTTTTCCATAATCATAGTAACGTATGTGTATTCTTATATTGGAAACTATTATTGTTTGACCTTGACTAAGTTTATGGGTTGGCGTGGCACGACGAGAGTATATAGTAAAAACCTCTTGTTTAGAAAAATCTATTTTCATTAAGTTCAAAATTATAAAGAATTATTCCAAGGATCTGTGTTACCTTTCTAACTGTTCCGAGCATTTATGGGAGCGGCGTGCTGCTTTTTTCCATTTTTACATCTTTGAAAGAGGGCGTTTGTCAGCAGTGTGTATATAAGGTGTTACGTTGCGGCGTTTGGACACCTTACGTCTCAGTACTTGTTCGTCCAAGTTACCAGGTTTCTTTTCGTTAAGCGCAATAAGCAATAGGGCCCAAAATAAACGAAGGAAGGAGAGTTCTCCAATAAGGAACAAGATCGCAGAGAGATTCCAGTGTTGTTACTTAGTAGGCTAAACTGAACTGATTGAGAACACGTACCAGAAAAGATAACGTAGTTATCTCCCGCTCGGGTGATTCTCCATTGCACCTTCGTAATAGGGAGTAGGTTATTTCTGGAGGAACTTGGTACAACGAGCGGCGACCCGCTGGCTGTTGCTGCTGCTGCTCCGCCTGGCGATGAACCGGCTGGGTCGGGGCCTCCCCCTCCCTGAGCGAGAGTCTTTGTGCGCGCATGTGGGTAGAGGACGCTTTGCGGCTTCCCGGGTTGGCGGATGTTGAATGTCGTCAAACTGCCGTCGCCATGCGACGCCATGAACTGTTTGCCCTCGAAGTGCCATGATACTGATGACAGTGCTTCGTTGTACTGGAAGCGGACCTCGGCCGCGCGACTGCGCAGATCCCACAGGACGATCGTGCCCGTTTCAAATCCTATCAGTAGCTTATTCGAGTCTACGGGGTTCTCGCTGAGGTGCACCACTGCACCGGGCTTCGTCTTGCGGGATCTGCATGAAATATTTGGGTACCGAAAGAAGACGAGAAAATATTTACCATAAAAGTTACTTGTGAAAACTCAGGAAATAATTTTTAAACTCTAAGTATAAAGAGTTCAGTACGAAAACCTCAAATAGGGCTATCCTCATTATATAAGACTCACGACATTATTTTCGCTAACTTCGAACGACCGATTTAACTTTTGCTTCAAAGGTACACCTTACACTGTAGTAAAGAGTCTGTTCGGCGCGCTCTCTGTAGCCATTTTACATACACGTGGTTTTTTTGTCTTCAAAAACAAATAGAGACAAAATGATTTCGTAGAGTACAGCATTATACATAAAAAATGTGCTCGTGCATTATCTACGAAAGTCGATATAGGAAAGCAATGCAATAAAATCTGTTCGTACGTACATTTCAATGGCCTTGTTCCAGTTGATAACGTATCCGGATAACGAGAAGGTGTCAATATTGACAACGTGAACGTTACCACCCTCCGTCCCTAGATAGAGCCATTTACTTTGGAACGGTAGATGGAAAAATGTAATTCGCTCCTTTTGGAACTTGAGCGAATGGACGATCTCAGGAGTTTTATTTTTAATGTTCCACTCGTGAATTTGGTCATCTGCACAAAGGCTGAGCAATAGGCCCTGCAATAATACAAGTAAAAAGCGAGGACACAATAGAAACGTCTGTAGATTTTGATCAAATCGACTCGTATAAATATTCCATGATTTACTAAGATGGAATACCTACAATATCACTTGCCCTAAGAAATCGATCGGTTATCACCGCCTGACCTAACTGTATTCAATACATTGACTACAATTTCAACATGGTCGTCCGCCATTTGTATATTCCTGAAAAGTACGCAACGCAGTAAACCCATGCCACTTAAATTTTCTTCAGCCGAAGAGGACAGATTCTAATAGTACGTGGTCAACAAGACAATCAGAGAGAGTTTTTCTAAAAGACCGTTAATATTGGATTGGTATCACGATGGCGCGAACTCTCAGTTCGTAGGTAATACAAATCCGAATTGCTCTTAACGTTCCTGTGGCGGAGAATGAGACTCCCGTAAATGAATAAAAATCAAGGAAGTGTTATTGAAGCTTGAATTACAGACAGCTACAGATGTAATATCCGCTTAAATAAAGATCTAGTGAAGAGACTCGCTTTTGCTAAGAAAGCTGTCATGAATCATAGAGCAATGTATAGCATCAAGAAAGTGTATTGTTATACCATACTGACACCCCTGTTAGTAACATCACCGCACTCGTATCACACGACCCTTTGCCTGCAGTACTAATCTTGGCATCCGCAATGCGCGATGCATGTACAGATAGTTGGCACGATTTTATCCGTCATGTAGTAGCATACATCATTTGGCCGTCACGCTTGTATTTATGGCTTGCCGTTTCTTCACCTGCTCACTTATCTGTTTGCCCTTCCACCAACGAAACCTCAACAGTATACCTATGTTAGTCGAGGCAATTGTCTTCCTGCAATAATCGTAATACATTTATGATGCTGTATTTTCTGCACTTGCCTTCTCTTCACCCCACCCCCCGTTTCTTTACTTCTTATCTTTAGTTTTTAGATAATTCATCGTAAACCACCGCCGTAGTATAGGAGGAGAGCATGCCACAGAGACGTCTGCGCCAGTTGTTGCGTTACTTGCGCAAACGTGCGTACCGGCAACTGGAAGCGTCCTGATTGGCCGGTATTAGCTCCGATAAAATTTGAAGCTCCCACATTGCTTCTAAAAGTGAACGGTATTCAGTGGAATACCAGCCGGGTACACGATCAGATAGTCAGCTGGGGTGGTTCGCACGAGTACACAGCCTAAGTCGTCGCTTAGGTGATTCTGCCGCCAGAATAGTCTAGAAAGTATATAGGTCTTCTATGGCTCCAAGAACAGATGGCACCATCAGTCGCTGAGCCTTGCAAAATTATGAGTTACGCATTGATAGATAACAAGGCACGCGTCACCTAGGTTCATGCGACTTACTTAGGGCAACTGATATGGACGGACGGAGAAGAGAGAGTTTAGGTGAGATTTACAGCAAAATAAAACGTTTTGTTTCTTGCTCTAAGGAGGTCTAAAGTATTGCCAAATACAATTAAATGGATGGATGGATGGTTAACTCTTAATACATTACGCCAAGCCTGATTTTTTTCTTTAAAAAATAATCTGTGCTTTTTCTCAAGAAATTTTTACTTTTAGCCGTTAAACCTCTATGACAAAGAGCACAGCACAGTTTGGAAGAAATCCCGCAACAGAAAATAGTGTTACCGAATTAAAAAACATCTTACGCAAGAGCATTTTCCGCGTGTACATTTTATGCGACAACGGTGCCAACCGAAGCGAGCTATCGTTAGTAAGTTTCGAAATGCAAATTACATGTAATATAACTCTACGGCGGCGACTCTAGAACCAATACACTGCTATTAGCCACATTTTAACATTTTTTTTTTTTTACCAAATAAACAATTTTTAAATGCTTTATGTGTATCGAACTTGTGCAATGATGAAATCTAAGCAATTTAGTCTCGGCAGGCAACCAATTAAACTCTCGTTATAGAAAAAATATTCTCAATTTATGTATTAATGTATTATAAAGAACGGAAAATCCGAATTTTACAGCATTTTATGCATTTTCAGAGGATATCCCGAATCGTAGAGAGCTGAAGTGGCTGACGGTAATCTACTATAACATGCTTAACAACGTAGAGAGCTCATGCGCGACACAGATAACAAAATGTACAGACGGATTATGACTTGTTAGCATTTAAATGTTAAGGTGAGGTTTTAATCGGCCGGAATTCTGATCAAATGTAGTAGTTATGATCCGTAAACAATAGGTTATAGATTTACCGCAGGTAAGGAAGTAAGTGCATAAATCCGATGTTCTCATTTATTTGACCTTATACTTGACGGTATATAAATCTTCAACTGCTGATTGTTACGTGCAACGCTAGCGTGTAAACAAGATATTTCTATCTAGAAAATACGCATAAAGCATGTTGGTGCTTTTAATTTCGATGACTAGACGCTACTGGGTGTAACTGTCTGATAATGCTCGATTTCGTATAATTGCTCGAACGCCAGCTCGAATGCACATGGTAATCGGAAGCGTCCAGATATCGAAAGAAGAGGACACGACAAGAGATGATACAGCAAACGCTCTTTTTATTCAGGACAAGGACACACTAATTAAGTTTACCTGTCGTCAAAACGCATCACGCACGGTCTGTCACTTAATTTCTCTTTCAGTTGTTTCTGTTTCTTTTGTCCCTAACGAACCGTACCAAATCTAGATATAAAGAACAGGACGCCAGATGCTCCGTTATCCAGAGCGCCCATTCCTTTTAGCAAGGGTCGAGCCATAGTTTGCTGCCTATAGAAGTTAGGAGCTAAGACGTCTCATTACCATTGGGGAGCACCATCATCGTTACTGTCGCCATCGTCGGCTGACTGTCTGCCGGGTTATCATTTAGCTCCTCCTGAACAGCGTTTGTTTCTTTATCGTCCTGCCTCCTTCATCTCCGTTCCAAGTAACTAATCTCATAAACTAAAGCAGATGGACAAACTGTTCCCCAGGTGCACCCGAACATACATCTGCTAACGTATTCCCAGGCGGAGATACGGCGTTTGCGAAAACGGCGTTAACAGGCCGCAAGAGATACAGATAAACCGCGTGCACTAAACAGCAATACACGCAGAAGAATACAATATCGATACCAATTCAAAGGGAAAACATTTATTGTGCGCAGAAAGATTAACGGAAATTTCGCTTTTTCCGAGTACGGAGAAAAGAAATAGATCTAAAAATGGCACAATTTTTTTTTCGGTTCTGTCACTCAAATAAACCAAATAACATTAGGTAGTTATCGACAGACTGTAATGGGTAGCGTCAAGAAGTCTTTAAACGTTGATCAAAATCCGCTGCGACAAGTAAACTTACTTTGCTTCTGTAATAAGTACCGATGGCTCTGAGTAATAGTTACAATATTCTCTACTAAATGCGCTTCAATATGATGCCATAATTATTTATTTCAAGTGCTACATTTAATATAATACCTGTAATAAGTTATATGAGGTATATATGTATCATACACGGTACGGCTCGATCCAAAATATGATCATCTTTCTAAAGCGGAGATAGACGTTGGTTAGCGTTACGTCTGAGATCTAAAGGGAGAACTAAAAAGGTAGAACACTATTAGATGCGGACTGGTTGAATATGTAAGGAGCAGCACAACCGCATGAAAGCAAAGCGAACAAAAAACACGAAGACCCTTTTAATTGTGTAATTATATGTGGTATTCCGGCTGAATGTACGGAAGCCCGGAAGATACGCGGAGTTCTTCTTGAAATAGATAATAATGCCAAGACGCCTGTATTACTTACTATAGAAGAGGGGAAAACTGCACGTCTGAGCCGGACAAGGCTTAGCGGGATGTATTCACCTCACCGGAAGGATGCATGCAACGCATAGTGTCTAGAACTATTTCTGCGTTTTAGTTTGCCACACAATACACACCAGATGGTGTAGGCGCGCAAGTGGATAATTTTATCTTAACTGTGCCTATTCGTAGATTGAAGGAGAGTTCTTAGTTCTAGTTACTTGAAATGAAGTTACTTTACTTCATAGGCAATCTACAGTGAAGGTAATCTCTAAAGAGCTTTCTGTACCTTTCTAAGTCAAGGTTAACAAGGTTCCCTGTAACGCAGAGTTATTTAACAACTTCGGAACGCCCAGTCAGTACTAGCAGTTTTGCTGATCGACAAATACTTTAGAATTTACAAAATTTGACACATTTATTGCCGTTTCAATCAAGTCGGAATAAATACTGAAGCGGCAGAACTTCTGTGTCAGGTTTGGTCGTAGCGAGACACTTATCAAGAAATTTAAAAATAGTGAACCTGAAAGCATAAACGGCTTCGTTTACTAAGATATTGACTTTAATTTAACGTAACAAGCTGTGCCGCAATAAAAACATTCGGAATCGGTATAATATTAAATCTCAGTCTGAGTAATTTCAGTAATACGCAAATCAACCAATTAAAGATGTCAACTGCTCTAACGCAATGTTAATATATACCGGTATATCCTCGGTAATTGGCTTTATTAGCTAATCAGTTTATTGTATCTGCTGCTAGCTGCCTAAATTGTAGTAAGAAGGCAATCCGCCAGCGCGGCGGCCTTTACAAATGGCAGAGCCATGCTTAACTACAGGTTTAGCTTACATCGGGGCTTCCTCTATCCCCGTCGTCCCGTCTGTTCCCTTCCTTTCCCCTTACCACAGTGGCGACTTTGACCTGACACGTGAACCGGACAAGCTGCTTTCGTCGAACCGGTTATAGAGCATTGGTAAACTAGGCACTAAAATGAGAACTCTCTGGACAGAGCATATTCGAGTTCCGCAGGATAACCAAATAATGCTGTGACTCCTTTTTTTTTCCGGAATAATCCAGTTTGTACTACGTAAAAATTTATATTGCCCAGCTTGTGAAATGTAGATCTGATATATACACAAAGCTCACCATTGGCTAATTACATATAGCATTTATTTTTAGTATATTCGTTCATATCGAAGGAAGAAGCGAGCTTAGATTAAAAAGCTTCTCGTACCTGTCGCAATAATGTTAGCCAGCTAGAAAAACGATAGTGGAAGTAAACGTGCTTCAACAAAGTTAAATTGATTAATAGACAGTCGATATTTGGGGGTAACCCATTTTATCGTGGGTCATTTCGGTAATACAGAACTACAAGTTTACTATAATAGATAATTTCCGACGGATCGTTAAACAGGCAATGTGGTGTGTAAAAAAGATCAGCGAGTGACTACGTATATTTTCGTGATTGCTATATAAATATTGTCCGGCATGGAATGAACGACTTTAACCAGCTAGCCGACTAATCGTTCCCGTCACTGTGTATAGGAGTCTCATAAAATCAATCGGAAATCTCTCATAATAGGCAGGTAATAGGCAAAGGTATCTATGGGCACATCAAATCAAGTTATTGATTTGGGTACAAATAATATGTAAAACCGCTCTTTTATGAAATATCTCACTCGGTCGATCTCCGCCGACCACTTACTTAACTGCTATGCTATATTAAAGGTATTTTATATAGACAAATAAACAAGGAACAACTAATTCCTAGATGTCGTAGCAGCGATACTGTACACATATACCTAATGTAACTACATAATATTGTAGAAGCGTCATCGGATCCTGGACTACACTGAATCATTGCAATCTATATTGTCTATTCTATTGGCGACGTTATATTTACTGCCCAAACCTACATCACTGTCAGTATCAATAGATAGCAAATCTGAGAGCTTAAAAAGGGTTTATATGACATTATTTTGGACTAAAGGTTCAATTATAGTTCAGTGGTAAGTTTACAGGCCAGAGCATCCAGGAATGGTTCGCGCTCAAGTTCGGTGTTTTCGCCTGCTCTAGTAGAAATAGACATTCGCTTTAGCTAGAGGCTTTCAACTGAGACTTTTTGTCCTTTATCTTTGATGGACACAATTTACATGGTGAATGCGTGACCTCAAACACATGGCCGGATCGTCCCTAAACGACAAGCTCTTCCTTAAATGTTCGCAAGGGATTGGATACGGATCTTGGCTGATGACAATATTTGTCCTGTTTTGCCAACGGTTTTCAGTTCGATTTCTAACTGCTATGCATTGGTCTGGTCCGAATGGGTCGTATTCCATTTTCGAGGGTGTCAGTCTTGCTTCAATCGCTCGTAATACGGGCCTTAGTACAAAAAAACACAATTGCTTGTGGAAGCTTGAAATGCACATTAATACAATGATAAGTACATTTTGCTCTCATGCTAGCGTGAATTTTTTTTTTACATATTTACAGGATTTTGGAGCTTAATTGGTAGATTGACAACCCAATAAGTTGAATGTAAATCTTTCATAATATGACCCTGCCTCTGTATCATTGCAGGCATATTTAGAAAGCATTTTCAATCAAAAAATTGGGTAGTTGATCGCTGTTATTTGTACTTCCAGATGAATAAAATGAAACATTGGCAAATGGTACTTGAAATTCTTTAAAGGAGCAGTAGGCCGCAGCAGGAGTTTATATTACGTGCACGTCTGCAGGATCGTATAAAGTCTCCTTTATCGGCCTTGCTGTACAAAAACAGTTGTTCTTTCAAATATGCTATAGCTATAATTTGGCAACAGGTTTGCATGGCGGGCCTTCTCGCTTGCTAACTAAGAGATATTCTAGTAAGCGGGTTAACTACTATTCAAAGTGCAATTAAGTAAGAGAAGCTCGACGATGTCGTTATTAAAATTATTTATCGAATAGAATATTTGTGGAATTATCCATTATGAACTGCTGCGAACCACCAAAATGGTGCCAATTGCGCGCTGAGAGCAACGGAAGCGCGTTTGGGCGTTCTCTATTTTCCAGTAGAAGGACAACAGCTTCACTGATGTGGACGCACTCCGGCTGCCGTAAAAATAGCTAGAGTAAGCTCAACAGAAAAGCTACTGTATTGTGTGCTAGGTGCTAGAGCACTACTGCCTTGTGAGATTTTACCCTACTCTTATAGTGGTAGACAACGAAAACGCTTAGCTAATCACTGGTACCCGACAACGTACTTTCTTTAAAACGTAATTTCATCAGAGGTTTGAATGCGCCTTCTGCGCTGAAATATGGGTAAGCCCTCGATGAAATTGTTATCCCAACGTCTCAGTATATGTAGAAAGGGCATACGTTATTTGTCAAACAAGTATCGACTGCTTTCCTAGCTAGATGCTTTAAAGTCACCTATTCCATGCGATATGGCGCGTATCGGCATTGGTGTCATTTGAAAGCCGTGATTTGGCACTCTTGAAACGTCTCCTTTACTCAAACTTGAGACGCAGTGTTTTGGAGATGAGTAAATTTTTTGCAAAAATTTTCCATATTGTTCCACTTAATTAATTTTCCATATAATTGTATAAAAAATTTCCATGCTGTTCAGAACCATAGGAAACTTTTCACCGTTAACATCAAGGTGCGTTATCGGAAGAAATGACTCAAAGGTGGTTTTGCCGCCTTCGATGTAAAAGATGCTCGTCGTAGTAGTCAACGAATTATGGAAAAAGTTGATAAAACTGGTAAGACAGTTGAATAAGATTAATGTGAACCAATCCAGAAAAGCTTACTCGATCGTATTTCTATCTGTGAAACCCAACGAAATTGAGCCGTTCCTAAAGCGGTCGATCAGGCGATAAAAAAAAAAAAAAAAAATAGATCACGTACGAAAATAGTATGCAAATGAAAAATATAGAGATTATACTCTACAATATGTGACAAAGTTCCGACAGATACTACAGAAAGTAGTGCTCTGTGTTTGATGGGATTGGAACGGATCGCACGTCCTGAGTTGTCGCCGAGCGACAAAACGGTTAATTCACACCTCTTCTGTCAACACTTGAAAAAATCGACCAGAACTAATGAACAGAAAAGGCGTCGTCTTCCATCATGACAATGTCAGACTAAATAGATTTTCAGCTATCTGAAAAAAAATTGAAAGAACTCAAATGGGAAATTTTAATGCATCCGCCATATGGCCTGGATTTTGCGCCTTTGAACTGTCATTTTTGGCCTCTGTAGAAATGGCGTTAATTTAGTTTAATGAAGGGACGCAAAAGTCGTTTGTCACAGTTTTTCGTCCAGAAACCAAATATATTTTACAGTGATGGAATATAATGGTAACAGAAAAAAATGGCAGAAGGTCATCCATCAAAATGACGCAATTTAATTCAATAGAACTATTTTAAAGTGAGAAAATAACAGATGCTTCTCTTTGAACTTAGTTTTTTTTTCTTAGCTTTTTCGATAACTCAATATCTTTCCATTAAATTATAATAGTTATAGGATAAATCCAGGGTTGAGAGAACGAAGAATTGTTAAGGAAACTTAGGTCCTGTCCTAAAACCATATCTAGACGGCCTTTTACAGAGCTATTATTTGATATATATAAAGATATTTGAGAGGGTTCGGCTTCAATCAGTAAAAAATGCATTACTCTTTCTATCCTATTATTATCATGTTCAATAATAATTAGCAGTCGAGTAAATTATCATAGTCTCATTCGTCTCACGCTGCTGTTACTATATGTAATATTCATAGATAATAAAAACTAGGTTTCAGAAAGCTAAGAATAGGAATTTCGTAATATGCCACGTATGAGAGACCTTGGCACAGACGAGACCCATAAATACTTTATACAAAAACGAACTAAGGTTGCTTTAGAAACAGTACAAACCCAGGCACAATCAAATAAAACTAGCAACGCTTCTCCTGCCAGCTTTTGTAGCAATGCAGAATGGTAATTTCGAAGTTCAGCTGAAAAAGTTTGACTGTGCCGAAGATAAGCTGAAGGCTCTAACGAAAAGTACCGTTTAACCTCCTATAATAGAGGAACGTTTTTGCTATGACCACCCTCCGTAAGTTCTCAGCCATATGCTTTTCTTGGTAACCCAGCTAGAATTTTCAGTAGTTTCATCCGTTTAATTATCTCACTGTCATAGTTCGCTCTGAACGGTACATTTCAAATCTAAATTGTAACAGATTTTATAATATATAAAACTGAACCCTTCCCTGCGGACAGCTTTGCCTAACGAGATGGTGATTACTATTGGCCTCATGGCCAAGACGGTCACTTCACTTGTAAATCAAACGGTTGCTTGGACTTAGACTCCTGTGGTCCTACCCGTATTGCAACACCACAACATATGCAGTAGAAAAATAAATCATCACCAATCAGAAATGAGCTTATTATCTATTCATTGAACGCTAGTAGAGCCGAATGAAAAGTTCTCTAGGCACTGATAACTAACAGGAACTATCAGTGAACGTCCTGAAAAGGAAAACTTCACTCTTCACTACTCTAGTATGACATAGCACTAAATTGTCTTCAATGTATTCTATGTCACTAAATAGTAATGGACTAATGTAAATGGACTGCCAATCGTATATTTGTGTCTGTGTGCATATGGCTAGAACGGGAAAGTTCAAAGTTAAATTTGAAAATATCCATATGAGATGCAAGCATATAACTATGAACTTCAATGTAGAATCTTTACTGAAAAAAAAAGTTGTTATCTAAATAAAACATAAAAAAAAAAATAGATACGATGTGGTACTCCGACGCATTACAGTAGTATTTAGCATAAAGTTAATATTAACTCAATTTGTAGTTACCTCATTGACGATAAACTGTAGCTGCACGACGGGATAGTCGAGCACATGTTGAAGTGTGATCTCGACACCGGGTCGACCTAAGCTGTAAAAAAAAAACAATTAAAGATTACAAAGTCGGTCATGGGTAATTTCATGTTATCAGCACACTTACAATAAGGATAACCACTATCGTTAGTAATGTTACGCTAGTATTCCATTACCGGCGAGCAATCTAGTCAGAGTCATGTATATTTACATACGAAATCGTCTCTTGTCACTCATACTTCGGCTTTCACGCATACTTCATACTAGAATTCGTAGTAAACATCGACGTGCCCTTTTTAAGAACGACACACTTCTCTGAGAGATAAAAATATTTTTTCATCTTGTGTGTAGCTCAGAAGGGATTGCAGTAGACGTAGTGGTGAAGACGGATACGCCAGCAGCTCCGCGAGAAATGTACGCGAATCATTATTATTGCTGTTATTAGTATTGAAAGTGTTTGTTATTTTACAGGACTTGGCCTATTCTTAACTTTGTCTAAATAGAGATGTTTTTTTCGCATCAACAGAGGCATCATTCCTGCTTAAAAAATGCAACTGCAGTTTGGGATTTACATCTCATGTCAAAACATTCCTATCCGTATTTTTAAACATCTTCCAATTAGCGACAGCAACTGAATTGAGGTTGTTATATAGAAACTTCTTAGAGTCTCATCATTATATCATCTCTATTCTACGTAGCACACCAGCAAATACAAATATGGGCGAGATAGCGGCGACAGTGTGTTAAACTACTGAGTGGCCTTATGATTCACTTCAGAGAACTTCTGTCTGACTTTGATGGAGAACACTTGTGCGTGGGATTCCTGTTAAGTCTATAGTCTTTTACGGACACCATATGTACGCACATTTTTAGCGAAATCTATTAATGGGGCACTAACCAAATTTGATAATTTTCTATTTCTCTCTTAAAAAAGGCCACCATAGCCAAAGTTTTCCTGTAGCTTTCATCTTCTTTTTGCTACAGAACGCGCTCAAATGGCTTGAAAGCTGAGACTCCGGGCAGTCGTAAATGAAATGGTCGATTTCGATGTTCTTAGCTAATTGGTTCACTTGTGGTAGTTTAACGGTAAGGTTTTGCAGTAGCGATGTCTACGTCGTGCTCAATCAGCGAGCACAACCTGTGCGATCCGAAGCCACCTTCTAACGCAAGTCTTAGTCTTAAGCTCTCTACGGGAATTTGGGAAAAAAATTTGTCCCATATTGTTTCCGAATGCTCACCTGCAGCCCACTCTCATCGTTTTTCTGAGGTCAGATGAGAGCTTCAGCCCCGTATGACTCAATTCGAAAACAGATGCAACTTCGACGACCAAATAGTCTATACGTTCACGCGACATTCCGGCGAATGTATCATAGTGATTGGGGTCATTGTGTTATGCCAAAACAATATAAGTATCGATGTGTTTTCTTTCACTTGAAAGGCGAACGAACGTTTCTGAGATTGCTTTGAAAACAATACTTTTAACGTTGCTTCAGTGAAACATGTGATCATGAATTATTCTACAAATATGCGTGCCTTTTATTTTCATAAATTTATTTCCACTCAATAATCATTACGTCAAATTTGTGAGCCACTGTATTAGATAGGCTGAATGTTGTGCTTATTTCTGCTTCCGTATAAAGTTAGGTATATTACTTCTTCTCACTCGCATTACGTTTGTGTCACTGTGGCTGGGTATTGTACTAATAACAGGCGAGGGACTGAGCGATAACAGAACGTCGTGTTGCCTTGTGTCCTCTACTCCGTTTATGAGGCACTCAGACTCCCATTTTTAGTTCAATTGCATCTAATGAAGCGCATATATGTACACGGCCTGGCACACGAAATTAATGGACTATATTTTTCAGCTCTCTTACCGCTGCGAAAATTTCTTTTTTTACAGCCTGGGCAAGACATACGCGTAGTTATGGTAGAAAAATAATCGTTCTGAAAGTCGTTAGAATCATATTTAAGGAAATGCGGTAGTCTGTGGATCCGCTTTGAACGCAGCTATTACTTTTCATTAGATTAGGATATAGGTCTGCGAGCAGTTTGTATATTATCCGTGTCCTTTCTTGCTAAACATACAGGTATTTCGTTGCGTATTACCGGTTATAGGCAATGCCTACGAAGCGATTATTGCAATCATTAATGCGCTTTTAATAAAAAAAAAAAAAAAAAAGGCAAAAAAAATAGTTACGTTATAAGCGCGTTGCCTTCGCTAGCAGCGGTAGGCCTAAAATCGCCCATAAACCGCTCATGGCTTGCCATCGTTCATGCGACGAGTCAGCTTAATCTTTTCAATTACTGTTTTTTATCCATTAGACTGTAAGCATTGGCCGAATAATTTGACAATTGCTCCACAAAAAACCTACGAGAAAATATATAAGATGCTAAATATTACCATTCATGAAGTATTTTAATGGCTGTTAATGCTAAACATGTGTGGACTTCTTGGACGTTAAAGATTGCGTTCGCGTCTCTCAGTGCTTCGAGTTTCACGTCCGGTATTGCCGTGAAGTAATCCATCAAACGTATGGTTCGACAAAGCGTGTCTATGCCCAAATTCGAACCTAGACCACAACGTTACTCTAATATTAGCGGCCAATTATTAGTACCAATCATGGGCACTGATGTTAACGAACGTCCAACAGCAATACCAGGTACGTAGCTCGAAACATAGAGAAAAGCTATAGTTAGGTAACTCTTATGGTTACAGTTGAATCGCAGAAAAGCCCAAATATCGATCGTTTGGAATAAAACCTCAAGTTCAATTATTGCATTGCAGTGTTGCAGCTTGCTTACTGAAGCGAAGTACGTGGTGGGACAAAACTCGATCGAATTAGTATCGTCATCAAACGCAAACCTTGTTATACTTGGAGCACTTGGAAGCGTATTTTCAAACCTATTTGAAGAGTTTTTGGTCCTAAGAAAAACCTCATCACTATCTAGAAATAAGAGTAGGACCCTCGCCTCCAACAAAAAGCCGAACCGGTAGCTCTTGTATAACGATATTGAATACGTTAATGCTCCTACGAATGGGGCAAAGCACATTAAAGCGATTTCGCACACTTTTCAAGCGGCTTTTAACCGTTGTAGCTCGCCGTCCAGCTTCTAATAATTTTAGAATATCATTTGAATTGGCAATTAAAAATCATTACTATGCCAACTATCAGCTGTGCATACGTGCAGAAATCCAAGTGGGAAAAGAAGAATCACAACCTACGTTCGACATGATTTCGCCTGCAAACGAAGCATAGGTAACTCAAATGTTGCTCATCCGTTTTCATAGGAGTACGACCTTCGATCAAATAGTCTTTTTAATTTCACTTCACAATGATAGAACTGGGTCTGTGACTGCCTCTTCGTTAAGAAAACATTTGTCTTTCCTAGAAGACTCACTGGAACTCCCGTCCCACCAAGCCCCCTATATAATTATATGTACCTGCAGTATGCGCGGCCCTGTATGTCAATGGCTAGAGCAGCTTCAAAGCGTGGGACTTGAAGAAGGGTCGTAACTAAACTGGATTGGACGAACTGTTACGGGAAAAAGTTAGCCAAGAACAAACTACGTATAGCAGCAATGTGCAAGTCTAAGGGTGCGAGCTTCAATACAAATACGGTTTTCATGATTCGGCGCACTCTTCTTCCGCTGTAGCTAGCTGTTTTCCCTCATGTTTTTAAAAAACAATGCTGTAAGTAAACGCCCAACAAGATATTAAGAAGGACCTAGCAGCAACAATGAGCTTATGCAAGCGTCGCTCGCGATCACACAAACACAATAAAACGAAGACAGTCAAATGGGATTGAAAAGAAATAGTCAACAAACGTTATATGGAATAGGAAAACGTGCTACTGTGCCCTTCTTTGAAAATCTTCAGTTTTCCTGGTGGCGGTAAAGCTTTGTAGAAATTTTTATACTACGTAGAACCTAATACCCCCCCCCCCGCCCCCGCCGCCCCATCGTCTCAAGATACAAAACAAAATTTCTTAATGATGACCGGATTTTGTCGATGCAGCAAGAATTTAACACTTTCCCTGTATGCTTCGAGAAGAAAAGTAGAATTGATATACGAATGGTAAGCGCTGGTATGCAATGGTTGCATATATAATCTTTTTGATCATGCTTTCTTCGCACATAAACGTTATTCGCACCGAACATATACCGTTTGGAAAAACAGCGCCTGTTTTCTATCCTGATGATAGCTATCGTTCGGTATGAGCTATTAGCTTGAACTTAGACGTCCGCGGGAAATATTTTCACCAAAGAAACTTTTGATAGATATGTTAATGGAGATGGGCAAATGCCATAGCAGACGGATGCATAAAGGCTGCGTGCGTGTCCTCCATACACGAATTACAACCTTTCTGGTGGCCACAGTGAAGTTCAGAAGAGTCCAGGGCAAGCAAACTATAATACATTCAAAAATAATTGCATAAAGTTATTCTTGGCTGATATTAAACAAGCCTCCGTAAATACAATAGCAACGTTTTCATAACGCTAAATATGTAATGTTCTATACAGAAATTTTGAAAATGGTAGTAATTCGATAATAGATTATCTGGAATCCGAAAGTGTCTGGACGAAACTGAGTGCATTAAATGGAAAATATAAATTTAATTATTATGATTCTAGATACTGACAATGACGTGATGGTATATAAAACGCCTAAAATAAGACAGTATTAGCTCTAGTACGCCGTAAGCACAATCATAAATTACCTGTTTATTTCTAGACAGATTCTTCATCAGAGAAATTTGTCCTTATCAGTCTACAGTGAGCTCTCGGAAGAGAAGCAACTTATAAAATAGTAACTGCTTTTCACTTGATTTGCTTGCATTATGGGAACGGAATAGCAAACCTCAGGATCAAATGATCGACAAACAAGACGCCATAATTTGGTGCAGAACAATAGCCACGCTTACTGCTTTATGCATGCTACAACGATGCCTTAATTTCGTACGCATGCCCGTAGAACATCCACGCATAGACATAAGCACAAATGCAAACGCTCACGTTCTATTCGATTACCTTCACTTTCTTACCTCCCGCCTGGCCAA